AGGAGAGTTATGGAAATCCGCTATTTCTTTGTATCTACAAGGCTTAAGTAAACCTCAGACTTTTCATCAAGAAAATTCTAGCCAGAATGGAGTCGATAGTGTCCGAATCGGCATTCAGGTGTGGGTTCACCGGCACCTATTTCATACTCGAAGTCAGACAAAACTGGACTACAGCATCATCTTAAAGGAAATAGGGCGAACACAACTCATGTATCCGAGTTTCTTGTAGTCTTGAAAGCCTACTCAAAAACTAAAAAAGTTACGTCGTCGATCGCTATAGCAAGTATAATTCTGCTTCATCGAAATTCACATCTTTCCTGTCACTTTAGGACATTCTTGGCAATATGGCGTAGTATTTAATGTGTCGAGATGACGCACTGCATTGTCATAGTTCGACTCCCCCTGGGGGTGATGATAAGACCTAGTCGAGCTTGAAACTGCAGTCCACCCTGAATGAGAACACCTTTTGGGAAAGCAAGGCTATGTGAAATTCACTGGAGGCGTTAGCTTTACTAATACCATTGTGGGAAAATTCAACTACCAGTCGTTCATCACCTTAAACGAAACAGAGTGAAGACAACTCATATATATGATTTATTGGTAGTTCGAAAACCTACTCAAAGACGAAAAAACTGGACCATTTTGAATCAAGGTATGCCAAAGCTAGTTCGTCAGTGCAGTGGTGTTCGAGCGCTAAATGACTACTAAACTATCTCAAGTAGTATAGTGTCTTGAATAGCAAAGCAAAGTTTCCTGTAAATACAAAATGTCCTATGAATTATATGAGTCCACATTGAAAAACTACTCAATGTGCGATTTATTATCGGCTACAGTTTAATTACCAATGAGAGAACTGATGCGATATTTTATTTTATATATTGCTCAAGGTGCTTGCCTTCACTTTACACTTTGATAAGTTGTAACTGTATGCTAGCGATGGCGTCTCTCAGTGACGATGTTGACTAGGATGTCGGAGGAACATTTTTTAATGGACTAAGTCTTTAATTCGATGTTGTAATCACGAATATTATGCCAGAGGACACATGATTTTGTACGTTCCGAAAGGTCTCCCTATAGCTCCGACCAAATTGTGAAAACGGGATTAAACACACACTACTTATATATATATATATATATATATATATAAGTAGTGTGTGTTTAACCGCGTTTTCACAATTTGGTCGGAGCTATAGGGAAACCTTGTGGAACGTACAAAATCATGCTTCCTCTGGCATAATATTCGTGATTTCCAGCATCCAATAATTGACTTGGTACATTCCCAAACTATTTGCCAACATCGTGATTGAGAGACGTCATCGCTAGCATAGAGTTACAGCATGTCAAAAGTATCAAGTGGGGGCAAACCCCTTAACCAATATACAAAAAAGGATATCAAATTGCAAAGCCTAAACGGATCATCCCATTAAAAATTAATTACTAAAATTAAAACCCTTTGGTTTGACTTTTTGCGACTGGCTCCCTTTTAACCAAATCTGCATCGTTACTTCATGGCAAATAAATATTCTGATTTAAATCTTATTTTTTGAAATGCCACCTATACTTTCTGTATCAATACTTTGATAAAGCTTCCAACCAGCCAAGAATTATGCCAGAACTGTCCTGAAGATAGGGCCAGTTCTGTTAGCAAAGCTGCCTCCAGAGAACCTGCTGTTGAATCTCGTGCAAATGGTCGAGATCAACATATTTTGCAGTTGGGAATTTCATTAGAAATGGCGAATATTTGCTTTATCTGTCATTTTCACCCCCCTGCCTTCCATGGGTCTGAAAACATGGGTTGGTATGCGTAGGAAATGACCTAATAGAATATCAAATTTTATAGTGGGGATGTCTAAGAAGTACATTTGATGTGATTAAGGATCGAGTATTCCAACTATGGATTGTGAAAAGAGATAGACAATATTTACGCATATTGCAGCTGAGTTTTATACCTGGAAGAAGAAGATGCTTGGAGAGAAAGTGAAAATTAAGCATTCAAAATAAGGTAGAGAATTGACGAAATGTATAAAAGATTTGAAGAATATTCATATAAGGTACACCACGATTTAATAAAGTAACCTCACGATCCCATTAAATTTCACTTTATTTACTTTGTAGAAGCCTTTTCTATTCGGAGTTAGAGACATGGAGCTTACATACCATTTGTATATTGGATAAAGCCGCCCCCCCCATGGAATGCCTCATTATGGGTGGGAAATGTCTATTTTTGTATCGCAACGAAAGATGCAACCTGAGGTCATTCTACTGATACGGTCTTGATTATGGCCGGGATTTCCCACTTGGCTCTGGGGCTGAATTTGAGAAAATGCAACCATTAAGCACTTAAGGCAATTCAAAAGATAATGAAAACTATACAACTGGACGTAATGGCAACTAAAAATGCGACGTTTGATTTTCGCAATGTCGTGCTATTGTATAGCCAATTTAAAGAGCAAGAGTGGACCAAAACTTTGGTTTAATTGAAGATATAAAGACCAAGATGATATAAAGATGATATAAAGACCAAGAAGATATAAAGACCAAGGCCTCCTCGTTGTCGCAACCTGGTCTTGTTGTCAGGGCGACTTAGTAGAAGGCACCTAGTCCGAAGTCGTCTGCCGTAGTAGTTGTCATGATTCCCAGCATCAGACGGTGAACTTGGTACATTCGCAAAGGTTTCGCCTGCATGCAAAACTGACTGATGATGCCGGCGAAACGTTTAAAAATGTACCAAGTCCACTGTCTGATGCCTGGAATCATGAAAACTACTATGGCAGACGGCTTCGGACTAGGTGCGTTCTACATAGTCCCCCTGACAACGAGACCAAGTTGCGACAACTAGGTCAACCCTCTTCTACAGGATCATAGTTTTTAAGATTTTAAATGTGCAAAAATCAGAAGAGTAATGTGCATGATTGTTTTCATAATACTGGCGCAGGGAACGAGGAGGCAAATTGATGCTCAAAAATAAGTTTATTTTTAAACAACTCTTTTAGAAAAGATCTAATACTTGTCGCAATTCGACTTGATAGATTCCCAGACGGTTCACCGACATCGTAAGTTGCAAGTTGTCACTATTTCACTTTGGTAAGTCGTAACTTTTTGCTAACTCTGGCGCCTCTGGACATTCTCATGAATATAATGGTCAAGGATGACGGACTGGGTATATTTCACAAGGTCTCATTGTATCCATGAGCAAATCTTGGTCGTCATAACTACCATCTAAATTGGCCTGCTTTATTTGGACAACAATAGAGGCTTGGTGTCTGGCGAGAAACTTGTATTTCTCCCAGCCGAAAAAAATGCATCATCAGTCTTTCATTCTTTCAAACTGCTCAGGGTGACTCAATATCTAGTGACTGTCAAACAATCCTACTTAATTCGAATACGTTATTTGTTCTAAAATGTATAAAAGTCTTAAATGCCCTGATGCCTCGAAATCTACTGACCGTGAATATAAGTAGTGTAGTCAAGTGTAATGGAAAAATGCAAGACCAACCACAAAATTGTAATCTGGGCAAGGCATGGCTTGCCCCGTGATGCTTTGGCAACCACGGCTACGAGGCCTTTGAGGCAACATGCCGGAACTATACGCAACAGTGCCCACGTTCGAGTCTTGATGGAGACGAGGTCAAATTGCATCTTGAGGCCTACTGTTCTGAGTGTCACTCCTTCATTTCCTTTCCTGACTCCCCGCATTTGTCATGCTCTAGCATCAGTCCCTCAGAGTCCTGTCCCTCCGGTCGCTGTGTCCACCAACAGTTCATCATCCAGCGCGGCCAACATGAACTTCGACCTCGAGACACTGACTGACCGCGAGCACAGAGTTCCGCGCCAAGGCGACGACGTGACTACCAGCAACTCCGAGGACTCGAGTCGAGCCTCGGCTCCCGGCGACCAAAGACTGTCGTCCACCGAGACAGCCCGCGACGTGGGCAAAAGTGGCTCTTCTGGTGGTCGGAGCCGACGTCACACCTCCAGACTCCTCACCTGCCATGATCTGCCCGTCAGTCTGCACTACCGCCTCCTCCTCGAGGCCGTCGTCCAGCGCGATTGTCCAGCAATCACGGGTCTCGTCGCCAACTGGCCCGACGACCATCTCGACGTCCGCCGACTGATACCCCCCGAGGAGGTCCCCTTGGCCCCGGGATACCTGACCCGGTCCATCCTCGTCGGCAGCCAGACTGCCCCGGTCGGTTGTACCGGCACATCTGCCCCCTCCACCGCCTCGCTAGCCCCCTCGACGACTTCTCGGTCCACCCGGCAACACAATCACAACCCGGCCAATCAGCAGCAGGTCGGCTTGACGACCGGTTGGGTCGACGGAGGTTGGGGCGTGATTGCGCAGACTCGAATCAGAGGACCCAGTCTGCTGGACGCCTTCATGATCGGACTGCTCACCAGACAACCAGCCTGCAGAATGACGTCTATAGACTTTACCGGTTTTGAGGAAGGTCAGCAAGACCACTTCATTATGGGCTCTGGGAAGTTTGGGAAATGCATGATACCATCTAATCTTTGAGATATGACATGTATTCACCCGATTTCGTTTAAGTTGATGAAGGACTGGGAGAAGAAGAATTTTCCCACAATGATATGAGTTGAGCTGACGTTTCCA